AAAATTAATACGTCACAATTTATGTATCAATCACAGATCACAAGGTCACAACTTATTAGATAGACAAAACTAATATTTTTTAGGTCACATCGGTTACAATTTATCTTCATCGATCACATATTGTTTATTGGTCATGGATTAATCAATTCAATGGTCACAATCAAACAAATAATATGTGACCACCCCAACCTTTATGAAAACCACCGCATCCAACAATATCACTGCCATCATTGCCTCCAGAACTACCACATGCACTGACAGCAACATCGTCTCATCCTTGATGTACTCTTGCCAATGCTAGATCGAAACCTAGAACTTAGCCAACATCACCAACAACTCACATCACAGCCATCGCCATCACCAACATCTCGACGACCACAGTCTCACCATCATAGCACACCACCACAAAAATTGTGACCAATGTGACCTAAAAAAATATTAATTTGTTTCAACACCAATCTATATTCAATAGACACCGCAATAGCCCTAGCTTTAGTTACCAGAGAATCGAAATAGTTATGGTATTACGAAGAGAACGCAAAGTCAAGAGTAAAACCACCGCGGTAGACATAGATAAGGAGCGGGAGCTTTTGATTGTGAGCAGTAGCACTTTGGGGGAGGAAAAGTCACGCTCCAACCTTTATGAAAACCACCGCATCCAACAATATCACTGCCATCATTGCCTCCAGAACTACCACATGCACTGACAGCAACATCGTCTCATCCTTGATGTACTCTTGCCAATGCTAGATCGAAACCTAGAACTTAGCCAACATCACCAACAACTCACATCACAGCCATCACCATCGCCATCGCCAACATCTCGACGACCACAGTCTCACCATCATAGCACACCACCACAAAAATTGTGACCAATGTGACCTAAAAAAATATTAATTTGTTTCAACACCAATCTATATTCAATAGACACCGCAATAGCCCTAGCTTTAGTTACCAAAGAATCGAAATAGTTATGGTATTACGAAGAGAACGCAAAGTCGAGAGTAAAACCACTGCGGTAGACATAGATAAGGAGCGGGAGCTTTTGATTGTGAGCAGTAGCACTTTCGGGGAGGAAAAGTCACGCTGAAATGACCTTTTTCGACCTGAGAGACAGAGAGAGAGAGAGAGAGAGAGAGAGAGAGAGAGATGACGGATGGAGAGGAGAAATTGGAGACGGAATATGATTAATTGGAGATGATGGGTGGAGAGAGAGGACAGGTGAGGGGAGAAATTGATTTATATACCTAATATTTAAATATAAAAAATCTGATTTTTGAAATGTTAAATTACTAATCTTATTTTTGAACCCTAGATTTTAACTCTGGAGTTTTCTGTAATTACCACATTAATTATTGGGTCATAACCTACACTTATACAGGACAAATTTTTAAAAGATTATTTATTGGGCACGTATATGTCTGTTGGGCCAATTAATTACTGGACATTTATTTCATATCTTTGCTTAATTTTTGCATATTTATGTTTAGAATAATATGTGAAATTATAGAATTAATTAAATTGTGCAACGTTGCAAATTATGCGCATATTCAGTTTGCACGTTAATTATGTTTAAATTAATACATGCAATTTTTAGATGAGTTAATTTTTATGCAATTTATAATGCTTATGAGAATTTTATGCATAATCATAACATATTAGTTAATATTATGCTAGTAGACTTATTCTCGTATTGAATCAATCATTTATGTATAAAATACATGTCTAGTGATTTATATAGTTTTATTTATTTAAGAATTAGCCACAGCATCTTTACTTAAATAAAATTATATATTAAGATTGGGATCACATAAGGATTAAAAACGTTAAATTGTAATTAATTATACTTAATACATTAATTTTTTTCCCACGGGAACTTTTATTATATTTATATAATTAATTGGAATAAAATATGAAATTACCTCATAATTTGCCCACAGGAATTATGAATAAGTACATAGCTTGATAGTTTTATTATAAAATTTACTTTATAATAGAATAACAAATTGTTTTCATAATTAACTTAAATACGAATTAAGTGCGTCATTTGATAATTCTATCATAAGGAATAATTGAATATGCTTGAAGTAAAAATTAAGCCCACAAGCAATTTTTATGTTATTATATTTAATTTTAGCATG